GTGTACCGGTTACATATTTGCTGTTTACAATAAACTTACTGCTTCATTCGTTGTATACTCATTTGCCTACTAAATTTGGGACACAACACATTCCAATCATCATTCTGTTGTTTTATCCAAATGGACAACTAAAACCGGCGCACAAAAGTGCATGGTTACTGGTTGTAAGAATTGAACTGAACTGAACTTACCCTGGTCCCAAGTTGTTCCCCACCATCAACACCACTCCAATCACAATCGATCTCACCCAAACACGGAGACAGAGTTCACCTCTCCCCATCCCGAATGATCTTTCGACCCAGCGTGAAAATGTGTTCCCACTATCAACAAACTCTTATATGATCTGTACAGGCACGATTATGAATCATTCGAAAGCAATTGTTCGCTTTTGGACTTCTGTGGTCATGTTACAGTGGGCTTATTCTGGAATTTTGTATTGTGATCAACCACCTGTTACTTTTCTCTCTGTGCCTCGTTTTATTTCCACGCTAAAATCCCACAGATTTACCCATATGCCCAACTACGATCGACTGCGGCGCAACCCATAAAGGGCGTTGATCGAACGCGATTGGAGGTAAGTTTCTTTCGTACCGTTCCTCTGGCATTTTGTGATCAGATAATTCTCTCGTTGTATTCTCAATCTGTTTAACCGCCCCACTCCGCCAATACACGGCCCAAGTAACCAGTCAAGTATCATTGTTTTCTACTCAGTAAAATTACCGTTAAGTATGTCTGAAGTGTTTGTATGTTGCTCGTTCTAACGGGTGGACGTCACTAATCTAGTTGCCTCATCGGTCCCTTTGTTGTGAAGTCCGATTTATTGACAAAAATGGAGCAATAATCTGTATCCACATCAAATTGTTCTTTGTTGATGAGGGAATGCTAGTGAGACCAATGAAGTATCTCGATTAGGGGATGCTTATGAGTAAATTTTCAAGTTCCCTCCATTTTCAGGATGAAATAAGTTTCAAATCAATTCTACAAATGATCAAATCCATGTGAACAGTGAGAAATCCAGTTTCCAGTCGAATGACCAGATCGACTTGGTTCTAAGATCCACGACTGTTTGTGCGATTGTTTGAGTCTGAGCGAACTGTGAACAGTGGCTTGCTCCAAACTGTCCAACTCCATTTTCCAGTCCATTGCTCCTAAATGCATTTCCACACGCTCTTCCTTTATTCGTGTTTCCGGTCTGTTGTTTTACAATACCGGACAATTCTATCCGTGACTTGGCTATTGCGTCGCGTGATAAATCAATCAATAAATAAATTGCATGTATCACACACACCAAGGAGGTGCAAAAGGATTGCCGATGTAGTTGTTTGTTTCACTTTTTCTCGTACTTGATGCTCAAACCTTGCCACACCAGCAAACAAACCACTTCCGTGTTAGGCAGATTTATTGTAGCCGATTTCCGTAGCAATATTTTTCTGTATTTTCGAGTTCCAAGTGGCTATTTGTCAAATAATTTATTTGTATCGTCTCTCTATTCAGCTCAAATCTAAGTTGTCACTTTGATCGAGAAGGGGTCACAATTGCTATCCGTTCAGAGCAAACCAAACACCCATGAGATAATGGGCGGAATATCCACAATAGGCAGGGAAGATTGCTATTTTGGTGTGAGACATTTCATTCCAAAGGGACATGTGATTGAATCAGATAGTTACCCCTCGGTGGAAGGGAATGTTTTTTTCTGCCCATAAACAGGACTGGCATGAACACAAAGACCATGATGGTTATTGTCCCAAAAATTAGCGCTCACAAGTGGAACTTTTACGAGGGCATGTACTTCAAAATTCGAAACGTGTTCATTGCAACCAAATTGGAGCACAGAAGAGGATGTTTAATAGTTTCACTAATTACAACAACCAGCGGTCAACTTGCGACAAACATCGCTCTAAATTCGCATGAGGTATTTGATGCCTGTTGGAGTTGACAATAGACGCTTTCGCTTACTGAAAAACGAAACTAGAACATTCCCGTTTGTAGTGGTTAAGTTCAGCTTGGTTCATCCGCCACATTAGCACGTATTCCACTGTTGATGAGTGAGTGTTGTCGAATATGCACCCATGTGCGCGCTACAACACAGCTGCTGACACGATGTGTTTTTAAACACATCCGTTTAGCTGGAATGCAACTAATTTTGTGCTGCTTGATGGAATCATTCTCGGGAATTGTGATATTATGCATTGTAGCACTACTATTACCAATACGAATAAACTAAAAGTGCCCCCTGTCTAGATAACTTCACATCGTTCCACCACACAGATACATCGAAAATGCAAAACCTGGAATTTTGCACGTTTCCCTTTCGAATGTAAGGCGTACCGCGCTCTAGTCTGAGCACTATACGTAACATTACTGAAACAGCTGTTGATTGTCCTGTGTGAACTTTTTTTTCATTCCGTTTGTCTTTCAGAATCATCTCTCTCCCGAGGAATTCGAGTCACTATTCCAAATGCCCCTGTCTGCATTTCAACGTCTTCCTGAATGGAAGCGCAACGATTTGAAGAAGAAGTTGGATTTGCTTTGAGCACAAAAAATGACTGGCCATAATTGGAAATAAGCTATCTCTGCTTCTCCGATCGATTTTCATCTGCCTACCTGCTAGCAAGCTCTGAGGCATTGATTCAGTTCAAATTGCCGGATTTTATCCTTCTGCCTCACTCACTCAATGACCTATGCAAACACAAGATTTGCTAACGACCCCATTCCAGGGTTGAATGTCTCTCCTGTGTTGCTGGTGTTTTACCTAGTCCGTGCGTGATCAATGCGAATTCAAGGTGGGGAAAGTTCTTTCCAAGTCGAATGAGCTCTTAATTTCTGTTTTTGTTCAATGATCTTATCCCCATTCGGTCTGTCTTCTTCCTCGCTCTCGTTTTTGAAACGAGCTTCCCCCTGAGGAAGGTGATCCATTAGCTCTGGAGTAATCATGTGCACACCACACATTGGTTCAAACTTTGGAGCCAAATGGTCTTGCGATCATCACATTCTCATGTTCCTCTTTATCAGATAGAGATCAATGCGCTTGCCTAAAACGCCAAACCAAGCTGTCTCCTTACAATGCTGTTCCTCCGTCTCAAAGCAACCAAAGGGACTTCATTAATCGACCATTTTTCCGCTCATGGCTGGTCGAAAACGCGCTGCTGTGTTCGGCTTTTACCATTTGATTGATATGTCTGTGAATAAAACTAACGCACGCACCATGCCTGTTGTTTGTGTTGACATCTAGGTACGGAATAACAAAAACAACAATCGCCTACCGTCTGAAACGCATATACATATTTTTTTCAGCTTTCTAGATTTCACCACAAAGGAAAGAAGCAAAATAATGTTTTCCCCCTCCTCTAATCAACCCCCGTCACGCCCCCATTTTTCTTTGATTCTTGTTCTGACTCTACTCCTTATTTGGTAGTCACTGTTCGACAATAGTAGACTATTGTCCTTCCCTTCTCCATTGAAAAGTGCCACTCCCGCTCATCGATTCATATGAAAATGAATTCGCTCACATGACCAGTCCCCCCCCATACACTGATGCAATCATACCAAAAACATGAACCCTGCCGAAGTCCGTTCCTCGTCGTCCTTCATCCACTTCGATCCTCATTTGTTTTGTTTTTCTTTTTCGCTTTCATCTCAACCGAAAAACCTAATCATTGAGATCTCGTTCATTTTGGTTTCCTTCCCATGGTGGCCAGTCAGCTACGGGGGATAGACTCACTTGAAGTTTGACACACTCACCCCTCCGCACTGATTCTCCGCTATTATCACAGACGCTGTGCACCGTGCGGGAAATAAATTGTGCTCTCCGCATTTGGAACTCTTGGTTCTCGGTCACCCAGATTTTGCACAACACGTCCCATGGATCGCTTGCTTCTGTACAATTGTTTGCCCACCATTCGGTTGCTGTTGGCATTCTTGTCGCTCTCTCTTTGTTGTCGGAGCCATGTGGTCATCCTGCGGAGCACAGTTGGTATCCTCACCGAGGCATCATGTTATCCTTAGCTCACACAGGAAACACGTTCTAGCACGCTAACAATGTCCACCTTCCAGCCTCGAATGCTCGCAATCCGGAGCTCGATCAACGAGACTTTGTCTATTGTCAGTCTTTTGTTTTGTTTTCGGCTTTTACTTATGGCTTGGGAAGAGAAAAATGGAGAGCAAGGACATGAGAATGACAGAAAGACAGACGGACAAAGAGTGAGAGACTTCTTCGCGCCTTGCGTTACTGTTCACCATCCACAACAACAGCAATTCATCTCTTGTTCATTCATTCACTGACTCACACGGTCATGCATTTACCATGCCATCCGTGCGCGCGCGCGCTGTTAGTGCTTACAATTTGCGGATTGCTAATGAAGACATTTTTGACTATTTCGTGTGGTCTTATTCAAAATTGGCTGTACACGTAGTGAACAGAGAGAGAGAGAGAGGGTTCAGAAATAGCACCTAATAAGGGGAAGGAGTGTCGCGATTTCGCTCTGCTCTCACGTAAGAGGAAGTAGACTGTTCAGAGTCGCGCGGGTGGAGTGAACCATTGGAGACTAACAATCGCGTCACTATAGTTACGATGCAAATACCACTCGCTGTGCGTTGAACCGGCTACTGAGCAGTACCTGTCGGGGAGTATTTTTTTTGTAATCGGGAATCAGGTTGGGTCGCGTGTATCAGTCAGGCAAAGGCTCCGCCCTCTGTGGTCACAAATAGAAGTAGCTACTTTTGGAGGGCAGTGACCCTTTTATTTCTCCTTGTCGTCCTCGTCTCTCTTTATCACTGTGTCTTCTGTATTGCTCACTAAAATTTATTGGGGACCGGTGAATGATTTGATATAACTGTATGAGGGTTTTTTATCTCTAGCGAAGCAAACGTGAACTGAATTGCTAAATATCAACCATACACCACTGTTCCAACCTGGTAGGGTATCATTAGTGGGGAGAATGTTTCGTTCATAGGCTTTCATGGACTGTTTGGGCCGATCCTGTATGCAGAAGGTGCGGCAGTTGGATCGGTTGTTCGGGGAGTAAATTGGTCGTACAGTAGTTACGTGTAGCTTGTGCTTTCCCACTCTCGGTCCACAGTGGGGTCATTCGAGGAAATTGGAACAGTTGTACACAAACCTCTGAACTTCGCGGTTCCTCGGTTCCATTCAACTCTATCAGAACTATGTTTTATTCATTAATTAGTCTGATTAGTTTCTTGAAGGATAATGATAAAAACCACGACGCCTGAGTATCAGTTCAATAATGGAATGATTTGCCTTGCCATTCACCGAGTACAAACTCATCTTCATTAATGGATGAAGTCAACCCAGTCTGTGTGTGTGTGTGTGAAGGTAAACCGTTTCCCTACACGCCCAATACTTTTTTCAAATACTCTGTGTTAGAGGGCATCCAAATTGTCTCACATCACCTTTACTGAGGATGCTGTTTGTATTATATTCATGTGCCGGACTTGTATTCCCACCAGAGTGAAAGGACAACAGACCCACATTCAATCGCTGAATTAATGACCATCCCTCCTGGTTGGAGTTGGCTTAAAACCCTGATCCCAAAACAACCAAGATGAGGTATACCAACCACATCATCTTTATGGCTGTGGTCACCGGCTCGATCATGCATGCATTGATGCGTGTTGGAGACCTTGGGCGTTTGACCATCTCCAACGGACGTATAATCCAATGATACTGGACACCGGGCCCTCAATGGGCGCTGTTTTCACACACACTACCCCTTGCTACCTTGCGGATCAGGTTTTGGCTAACCGAAGGCTCGGGTTGTGATTTCTCCGAAAACAATTCACCTGCTTTGGCCTGATCAACCTGGTATTATCCCGTCCACTACGAAATCAGGGAACTTTTTCATTGTTTTGAAAATTGTTTAACCTTGATTTGCTTGGCTTCAAGTTTGAAATCAGACGCTTGTGAAATACACACACTCAAGTTAGAGACCATACACACCAGGGCAGTCGTTAGCATGGACACCTGAGGTTTTGTGGTTGTTCTCGCTTTATTGCATACTTGATTCAAATGAAAGCTTAGATGTAAAAGGTTCGTTTCGATAGACACTATACGGATGCATGAACGGCACCCGGATTTTGAGTGTTTTCTCACGAATGTTGTCTTTCTTTCACAGTATGTTATGGAAATCAGAAAAAGCTATTGAATAAATACTATGTACTGCGTGTAATTTGATATCATGCACTCGCTGGAGACAACAGATCATTTGTGCTGGTTTTATGCTCATCGCACAGATTCCACTTGGTATTTTCTGCGTAATTTACGTAGAATCGCAGATCAAAACTGTTCTTGCCAATACGACTTTCCGAAACATGATACGCTACTCGGTAAACATAACCCCCGAAATAATCATATGCAGAAATTGAAGCAACCAGTCACTCCGTTGTGCGCTTTATTTTCTTGGTCACGTGCCTATCTACACCGTCCCATCGATCGAGAGGAGGAAGTAGCGAGGCGAATAACTCTTTTAAATATTTGGACACCGTTTAGTACTATGTGTTCATCGGGAAACTAATCGTTCGACATACCATGGCCTTCAGAATTTTGCTAGAACTCTGAAAACCGGAATGTCAGCGTTTCAAATCGGAACGATTGGTTTTCTCGCAGCGGTGCACAAATAATTTTGAACATCACAAAGTGGCATTCACAGAAAATTTAACAGTCCCAAATGACCTCAGGATCGAGTCTGTTGCAGATTTTGTGGTGATCTAACTCTCCGGTATAACACCAATCAATGTGGTGCGCGTTACAATTTCTGGACAACGAACCATTGGTCAGTAGTATCGCCAAATCACGAGGCACACGGTTGAAATGGAAGCTGTGTTACGCGGAAAATACAACTAGACGATTGGTGAAGATCTGGTCAGCCAATGACATTTGCTGGTAAATAACATCTAATCCTGTTGCCCTCTTCCGAAAACGTAGCTTCTTCAGTGGGTTCTTCCTTCATCTCGTTGAATTAAGTACTTCGACAGATGAATACCAGTACGGTTCATGATTCGTGTCTACACCGTAAACTATATATTCCTGCGGACCACTTGAGGGTTATCTGGAAATCGCGTTATACTCTTATTTATGCAGCTGATTTCATAAAAGAGAGCACTCCTCATGGGGATCCCGAAGCCCGATCTTTGGATTCTTCACAGAAGATTGTGCAAATCACTAGTACAGCTTTAAGCCCAGTTGATCCAGCGATATGATTAATCAGCCCATACTATTTTAGGTCATGCGTTCCAGTCACACGATCACAACCTTACTCCTTCAAAGACCTATAAGCCTCGAGTTCACGCTTCATTTGCTATATGCGCAATTAACTAAAATTTGAAATTGAATCAAATCCTCCATTACTCACTTGAAACGAACCAGTTCACTGAGAGAGCAGTGCACCCACCGAGTATGTGGAAATTTGAGGCCTAATCAGTATGATACCGACTACCAAGTGTTGCCAATGTCTTGGTTAGCAAACGCTCGAACTCTGCCGTAATGCATACCTACTGCTCAATGAAACCAGTTATTTT